CCGTAAAACCGTGACTCATGCATGGACTGCTTTGCGAAGCTACACCTTGCATCGCTTGCCATGCTGTGTACGGCGAACACCTGTCACGGTGACTTTGTCGTTAATGTCGTTTTGGTTGCGTGTAAACGCAACCAATTGAGATGTGTGAAACAGGGTCTCGCCTGGTTTCGCCCATGCCCAATGCTTTTGATAGCGCACTTGACAGGAAAGGGGTTTATTAGACCCTTTTTCTGAGTGTCAGATTTGAGCTGCAATGACTGGCTTTTTGTTGTATCATGAGGCCTAGTCACTGCCGTTTGGATATAACACTCTCCGTAAGTTGTCTACGAGTAGAGTAGGGGGATCGGTGGCCGAGTGGGGGCTAGCGCACACCAGCTCGGAGCACGTGGAGCGAAAGCTCGCGCTGCAGAGCCCAGGGATCTTGAGTTCAAACCCAACCCCTGACCGTTTCGATCTGGATAAGCATCGTACCGGCGTGCGGTCGTGTATCACTACTGCCTGGTACATGTTAAAGACCCCAGGCTAGCGGTTGTACTGCACTGGCTAAATTTCTCATCTACAGCTGGGAGACTCGTCGCCGCTGTGAGGCAGACCGTGCTCTAGGCTGTATGAACATACACACAACCCAATTTTACGAGTAGAGTAACGTTAAAACTGAAAATCTCAAATCCCTGCACGATAGCGAACAAAACAGAGCCGGCGCGGTTGGAAAGCTCGAACTTTAAAAAAAAAAAATGTTTGTTTATATTGGAGTGAGGGGAAATAAACCCCACTTCGTCGTCGCTGTGATATGTAGTTTAATATTTGCGCCTTTCGTGGTGTCGGAACATGGCGGGCAGCATTTTATAGCTTATTTATGGGCATTAGGTGCTTTCGAGTACTTGCTCGTGACGCTTGTGACGCGCTTCTCGCTTCTTCTTCTTTTTTTTTTTTTTTTCTTTTGCAGGAACGAGGAAGAACTGCGAGAAAACATATGAGACAAGAATCCTCTGCGTCAAGATGAGAATCAAGGCCACTTTTCTTGAACTTCTAAACTTGAATTCCAGTCACCTTTCAAAATTTGGCGAAAGTTCGCGTCGTCTGCTACAACATTAGGCTTTTGTTATTTTTAGACAATTTAGTCCGCTTTAGAAAAATTACAATTGTCGAAAGTGATTTTGATCAGAACGAGAAAAGCTCTATACAAAGAATGGTTGTTTAAATAGCTGTCCTCCTTTCAGAAGTCGGTTTTCTGCGTACAGAGTCAAGCTACAAAATAGTCCCAGAATTTAAATTTTCTTTTAACAAATCTGAATATGAATACAACCAAAGCAGACCTACAGAGAACCAGCCTAGTTCCTCTAGCATATAATTAAACAGAATGCGATCAGATGCTACAATGCTACCTTAGAAAACCCCGAAACGCGTGAAAGGAATTCCTTGAAATTTTACCATAATAAAGTGGTGTTTACGAAAAAAAAAAAACTTCTGGCGTTGCACATCAAATACGTTATATGATAAGTTACTATGTTTGCCAGAGCATGCCTTTAAATGTCGTTGCTGCGTTATGAATTGAAACTGAGTTACGACATTTAAAAATCGAAAAAAAGGTCGCACTTATTCAATAAATATAAAACATATTTTAATGTACTTATTAAGAAAACCACGTAAATACAAAACTACTCAAGGCCTTCATCTCTTCACTAAAAAATAAGGACGCGACTTGGATGCGTTACAAGTCTAGAAACTTGGAATCTGTAGAGGCTCGTTTTACAAAATATCGAAAGTCCACATCTTTTTTTATTGTACGTTAAGTTTTGACAAATGCGTGTCACATTGTGCGCTAAGACACTGCTTATAAATTGGCCATTCATTTGAGAAAAGAAAAAAAAAACACGTTGCGCACACACACACGGCATTTGTACCGCAAACAGGAGCGTCAGCACACCTGCCACCGACATTATGGTTGTGGCCACACTGGCGACTTAACAACATACGCAAAGCGGTTGCGAACGCGGTTCGGTAAAGGTGCAATACAAATTCACGTGCAGTTGATGATGAAAATGAGCGGATGTGCTTCGCGGTTGCGATTCGAACGCCAGTATGAATGCAGCCTATAGGAAAACAGAGTATAGCTCAACCATAGCCTCTTTTATACTGAAAACGCCGCCCAATTTCTGGCTTCTCGATGATTTGGCGCCATTGCACCGGCTTCACATAATCGCCGCCAGGGGCGCCACCTCCACATACAATTAACATGACGATTGTCTGCCGCGCACTGCTACTGCCGCCCCCAACGTACGTAATTCCAATACTTCGGAACCCATATTTTTTTAGTGGGTGAGCAGCAACATATTGTTTAGGGACATACGTTCGGCACCACAAAGAGTGTTGTGCAAGGCAAAGACTCACGTCGCAAAGAGTGTCGTGCAAACAGTGGCTGTCTGAAGAAATGGACGCCATTAGAGCTTGACGAAGGAACTTTCGTCAAGCTGTTTCTTCCAGCGTGAACCTGACGAAACAAGTCCTTCAAATTACCTTCTGCCATAACAATATTTACTTTCCGAAAGTGAATAAATGTAGGAAACATAGGAGTAATCTTATTGAGCAAGGCAGAGGAGACAAAAATTTAACAATTATCTCACAAAATTGATCATGCGTGAAAATCGTGAATAGAGACTCAACCTCATTACCTAAAATCCGAAAGATTTTTGTTTGTTTTCTTTTTAACCGTGGTGTTGAGTTTTAAAACGAATATTCATTCAACTGTCTCCTATTGTCAGGAAAAAAAGGAAGAAATGTATTCAATACTACACTACGACTAATATTTTATTGGAAGCTTAAAAATGTCCCGCTCATAGTGAAGTCGTCAAAAATACGAATAACGACCTTAAGAAGAAAACAAAAGAAAAAAAAACTCGCAGAAAGCTTTTGTTTATGCCAAAAAAGATCAGGGGCGACAAAAAAGAGTGCATGTGTTTCATCCGGCTGGCTATTGCTCGATACCTATATTTTCAAGAAAGACGTACTTGCTTAACGAGTAGCAGGAGCACTTCAAAAATTACCGCTCTATAACACGCGTATTACTCAAAAAGTGTAATGCCTCTTTTAATGATAGGATATAATCTAAAAACTTTCGTGCGACGCCGCAGTTACACAGTCATCAAGGATTTAATCTATGGTCACACTGGCCGTGTTCCAAAATTTACTCAATCTTATTCCAGGGTAAAGGCCGGTTCAGACACTTGCGTTTGAGTGCGTTTGACTGCGTTGCGTCGAGAACCGAGAGCGAGTCACCGGCATATCTGTGCTTCATATGAAGCGTGGAATCCAATTCAAGGTATCATCTTGGCACACGATATAAGCAGCAGGGATGTCCTCGTTTCTCGCAGCCGCAACGCAGTAAAACGCAACTGTCTGAACCAGGCTTAAATGTTCTGTACAGAGCGCGACACTGTTAGTGCGAGCAAGCGCGCGATATCTGGTTTTTCCAGTTTTTCTCTTTGAAATCAAGGGATTTCATCCAAGTTATTATCGCTACGGAAAGAGCTCATTTAGTTCTATAATGTAAGCGATAAAATTTCGTGCTCGTTAATACTATTTAGAAGTAAGATGCGAAAATGCACCGATGTCGTGTTCGCGCTAACAGTGTCGCGATGTGTACCTTGGTGTTCCAAAACCTACACGCGCCCAGCGCTTTTCTATCTGTGTTGTCACGTGACACGACCCGCCGGAGTAACTCGGATCCATTTGGGTAAGATTCGGAACACAGCCACTGTTAATGCCACGGCCTGCTGTGATCCTGACCTGCCCACAGAGGAATGTACCGGCGCGCACCTTTTAGTACATTACCGCGGGCGCCGCGTTTCGTCACACTACGACTTCGCGGCGCTGCATAAAGGCTTCTTTTTTTCCTATGGTATTCGTATATCAATCGAAGGCACGCAAGCTGTGGTGGTCTTATCTGGTCCTGACATGCTCTCCTCGTGGGCCTCGTGGGTTCCAGTCGCCAGCCAGTGGTCTCGCGACAGACTCGTCACTAGAGGCGCCGGCTGCCATCACAGTTATTTACGGGTGATCTGAGAACGCGCCTTTTTTCGACGATGGCACAAGAGCAGTCGGGGATAAAAAATGTACTTGCGTTTCCGTGCCTGAGAAACGCGTTATTTCGATCCAAGCATACATGAGAGCGATGCACCCTGCTACGTGCTACTGCTGCAGCAGTCTGCTGGCGCCACGTTACGGTAGATGTTCCCGAGGAACAGATATCAGCAGCCGCGCGGCGTGCGGGCCGTGCATGTGCCGGAGGCTGTGAACCGCGTTTGGGTAGCAGAAAAGCTAAAGCCCCTCGATGTGTTTACGTGTCTTGCAAGTAGCGCCAAATGCGCGAGTGCGCGAGGCCCATGTCTCGAGCGGCCCTTGGAAGCAAATGGCGGTGCAGCACTGAAATCAGCGGCCCTTGGAAGCGAATGGCGGCGGAGCACGCGCTCGCGGCACGTGTCTCGCGCGTTTCCACAACAATGGTTGGCGGTACTTGTAAAAAAGGCCTTCATCAAGGGGCTTTAAGAAAAGCCTTTAACGAGCGCCCTCAATGGCAAAACGACGCACTTCATCGGCGACAGCGTCCTCCATAGGGAGCCATTTTGTAGGCAGGTCAGGATTACAGTACGTCGTGGTTAATACATCCTTCTATAGTCAATCTGCAAACATTGCCTGATGCATGCTTCTTGTACGACGATCGTCACATTGCTCATAAAAAAACTGTCTGCAGACATGTTGGAAGCATTCACATGTAGGAAGCAAACATGCTTTAAACATTCTTGAGCCGTGTCCGCAGGGAATTCTGTCATCTTGTCTCAAGCGAACACCGTCTTTTGTATGAAAGAGTGAGGTTGCGAATTCAGGGGTGGCGCGTACTTATGAAGACGGCCACTGACACATTGAGAATTTCTTTTTTTTTTTTTATATGAAGTCCCACCATCTAAAACGGCATTTATATACAAAAATAGTACAAAATGTGACTAGGACCTCTTAGAAACATCTAATCGCGAAGTCATAGATTGCAGACGCGTGGCGTTGTCTCTGGCAGACTCCTGCCACATGTCCTCAAGTTCTGTCTCGCGAATGGTGTTGGTGGCCTTGACCTTCGTCGTTTCGGGCAATGCAAGAACAGCTAAACCGATGAGAGTAAATATCACCGTGCTTACCGCCATGGCGAGTGCTCGACTAATTGGCTGGTTGGGTCCCCTGATAAAGACCAATAGCACACCTCCGCTCCTACCGAACATGGTGCATAAGGAAAAGCTTGTGGCTCGTAGCACAGTGGGGAATATCTCCAACAAGTATACGAACATCGCCATTGGAATCATATCCAGGACGATTCCCTTAAAGATAATTGTGACAATGGGCAGGATGCTGTCGTCCTCTTGCCAATCCAGCCAAGTCTGAAAGCCTAGCAGGACCGACATGTGTAACAAGGCGACGCAAAGCATCCTGCGCCGGCTCAGGTAGTGCAGGATATACAAGAAGGCTATCGAGACTGGTAGCCGCGCAACAATTAGGATTATGTGCACCGTCCGGTTTTCAACCAAGGTCTTGTTGAAATTGGTGTCGTAGTAGTGAAGGAGCGTCATGAACGCACTTGAAAAAAGGGTGATGGATCGGAAGCGCAAAGAGCTGTTCAGGACAAGGTCAAGAGGGCTCGGTTGTTGAATGTTCATTTGCGTGTTGCCCCTCCGCAACATCTCGTACTTGATCTTATTCATCTTGGCCTTAACGTCATCTAGGGGATAGCCGTTTACCTTGGCAGCCGAGACCACTGCGCGCTCGGTGCCTTGGATGTCGCCCAAGGCCAGCAGCCAACAAGGGGACTCTTCAATGGCGTACGAAGCGAATAGGAGGAAGATTGTCGGCACCATAAGCATCGCTTGAGCCACCCTCCAGTGTCCACCAACCACCAGTAAGAGAAAATGGAAGAGTGTCACCGCGGCGGATGTGCACGAAGCGGCAAAGGCGCAGAAGACGACGCGATGCGTTGTCTTTGTCACCTCGAACAGTAGAACGGACGCCATGTTCAAAACCGTCAAAGATGTCACCGATGTCACAAAGCGCAAGATGATAAACGTGAGCACCGTGTTGGAGAATATCGTGGCCATGCCAGAGGCGACTAGCAGTAACAGCGCGACCAGGAAGACAGGTTTGCGGCCAAAGCTGTCCCCAAGGCACCCGATCACGCTCCCTGCGACGGCTCCACCGAAGTATACAAGCGGATGGAGCAAAAGCAGCCGGTGTCTGTGGCAAACCAGGTTCCACTCGCTGACGATGGACTTCCCCGTGGTCGCCAGAGCGTAGTCCCACTCGTCGCAGAAGACCACGGTTCGGTTCTCCGTGGCATTTCCCGCGTCCAGTGGAGGCTCGTAGCGGGTGCATTTGCTGAACGTGCCGTCCGGTTCCACGGGAATGCTCTGGTTTTTCCAGACGTCGGTCGGCATGTAAGCTAGCTCCGGCGGTGGTCTACACCAGTGCTCCACGGGCCGTGCGAATACCACGGTAACGAGGCTGTTGCTTACTGCGATGAAGATGGAAAGCGTGGCGCACATCAGTGCCAGTCGTTGGAAAGTGCCGTGTCCAAAAACAAGCGCTGCGTCCAATGGGGCAGTCGGCGCGCTGGCGGTGCGGTCTAGAGCCAGAAGAAAAGAGGCCTTCATCTTGACAGGCGCCTGGACGAAGCGTAGAGTCGAATGAAGACGCACGATCTTAAAATTCTCGCGACGCTCGTTCCCTAGCATGCTTCTGGCGCTCGAGGTCTGCTTCAGAGCCAGTATAGACGCTTTGCACCACGACCAGTTCATCTGGAAACACTCCAGCACGCAGCAAATACCACCTGGTGTTGACTGCGCAAACTAAAAAAAAAGAAGCGCACTAATTAACGTATCTGACTTTTTCAGTATTCTTACACAGAGAAAAAAACATTCTACATCACGAACGCGCTTAAAACCAGAAAGCGCGATCAGCTGGCACGCACCAAAGGAAAACAGAAGAACCCGACGAGGTAGGAGCATAGAGATCATATGGTAGGAGGACCGAGTTTTTGTGCCGCTTAGTGAGAACGCCTCTCACTAGGCGGCGCTAAAACTCGGCCCTCAGTAAAGCCCCTCAGCCGGGAGCAGGCTCTTTCATAGGGAGCGCTCAGATGGAGTGGTCGTAAGGATAGAGTTGCTCGTGCTTTGCACACGCGCCAGATTATATCCGCCATTGCTGACCTCGTGTTTTACCGAGATACTGAGCCACTGAAACGGGCGTTGACTAGCTTCCACAAATGCTAAGGCAGGAGAGAAGGTCACGGTAGAATCTATAATGCCAATAACCTGGCCTGCTATGGTAATAATGAAGTAAACTAAACGGAATAAGAGTAAATAAAAGCTGAAGGGCGGTGATGGCACCGCCCATGCAGGGCTGCTGCGAGGCGTCCGTATCGTTCGTTCTTAGTGATGCGACCGGCAGTGAATTTTCCTATTGGTACAGTGAACTAGGATGTAAATTATGACATTTAACTCTATTATTGGCGACGAGATCTTTCGGCTTTCGGAAGAAGTTTCCCAAGGTAGAAGCAGTAAATTTTATAGCTCCAGCATTTTTCACTTTTTCGCCTGTTTCGGGGGGTTATGGCACCCCAAAAGCCAATGGCAGAGCATGGAAACCCTTCCGGCACTGAACCAAAGCATTCCTTGGTGGCCGGGACAAAACACCCAACACAATAAGAGACCGGAAAAAAGACGTGATCAGGCACGGCCGGACCGACAGTCAGGATAAGCCTAATGGTGGTAGCTGACGCAACAACCGCAAAAACGGGGAACAACCCGCTCTACACGATGGGAAAGGCTTCCAAGTAACAAAGACCACACCTACCCTGGATAAGACTCAAAAAGACAACGACCAGAAAATTCAGGGGGCACCAGGAGAGCGCCATGAACGAAGAAATGACAACTCAAGCTATTCATTGGAGGCTGCTGTCATTGAGGACTATCACAACGACTCTTCTGATACGATGGAGTCCACTGATGAAACCGGTGGGCTCACAGTTGTGACACATCGACGAAACAGGACAACAGGAATTCCTCTCTTGCTTTTGCCAGCAACAGAAGGTTTTAAGCTTCAGAATGTGAACCCGCTGCATCTCAGCATCGATGTAACAAAGGCGGCAGGTGGAAAGATCCTTAATGACAGATTTACTCAGAAAGGAGGCTACTCGTAGACGTTGCTGAAGAATCGGCTGTGAAATGGTTACTCAAAGTCACCGAACTCTGCGGCGTCGCCATCAAAGCGTTCTTTCCGAGCGCCTACACACAAAAAAAAAAAAGACTCATGAAAGGCATACCTCGATGGTATACCATGGAACAGCTGGCAGAATATCTTCAATCACAAGGCGTGGTTGCCGTCAGAAGTCCTTATCAACGAAATGGAATCACCACAGAGACAATTCAGACAGACAGAGTAGTCCTCTCCTTTCGCCCAAATTCAGAACGGCCATCAGCAGTTGCGTAAGCAGAGGGGGGGTTTGGGGGGTCGAAATCCCTCCCGAAATGCCAAAGCTACCCCCCCCCCCCCCCTTCCCTCCCCAACGGGGCCCGCTCGCTGCCCTGCTCACGCAGTCGGGTTTGCACGAGGCACGGAGCAACGGGGGAGCACGGACCATCTCCAACTTACAGGCTTTCGTGAAAATTGTTTGTGGGATGGAAAATGCTCAAATTAATAAAATATGCAATATTGCTTAATTCATGTTAATTCGATGGGATGCGGAACTTGATCTCAGATATATAGACAACGGATATTTCGAAACATTTGTGCGGTGAAGGATGGCAATTTCAACGCAAAATATGACAAACTATCTTCATTGAAATACACAGTTCAATTAAACCAATGTGAACATAATAAAACGAACACACGGTGATAATATAAAACAATGTCAGTAATGTAAGGAATAATAAATTAATTGTAAAAAAAGAACAATCGCATTGTAAGCAACGGGTGGCGCTGCGCTCACGCACACCTTTTGTGATCAGAATTACGTGCTTTCGACTAGAAATTACTGCAAATAGATAGGTAACTGTGACTAGTGCTATTAGAATGCAATTAACAGGTTCTCTTTATCATCTCATTTATGCCAAGCGCCTACAGATTGAAATGAAGCCGCCTGCGTTCACCGAAAAAAATATCCCGGATGTCCTCCGCTTGAACTTTAATGTCGCGGTGAACATTAAAAAACGCTATACTTCGTTTCAGCTTCGGTCCAGACGTAGCCGATGCTACAAGTGCGAGCTCCGGGCTTTTAGCGTCCCTGCCAAGGACGCGCGCTCGTGCAGTGCAAGCACTGTTCAGGGCCACATGTTCACGCCTGTAGCATCGGCTGCGTCTGGAATTAAGCTGAAACAAAGCATAGACCGAGCAGTCGCTCACTCGAAGTGGACGCTCTCAGGTATGTTTTCAACCGTCGTAGTGAAGAGAACGAGAGCTCAGCTTCCGCCGTTGTTAAGGGCAGAGCAACTAGAGTCTTGAGGAGACGATGGACGTTCTGAAATAGTGCCTCCGGACAGAGGGCGACCACCTGTATACCGCAGATGTGACGGGCGCTTCACGTTTCTCCCTTTTGCATTGGACGCCTAAAATTTCCCTATTTTTGGCGAAGTTTCCCTCACTTTGCGAAAATCGTCGCTCACGGATGCGAGGAAGTCCGTCTTGCTTTCTGCTTTGTATATCAAGGTTGCATGCGATGCAATTCCTTATTACTATTAGCTAAATCTCTTCGCTGCACGGAACATCAGAAACTTGAAGAGACAAGCCTTCATATTCTCACTACGCACAGGCGCAAGGCTAGTCAAGTTCCTTTCCACGTTCGGCGTGTAGTTTCTTTGTGGTGCGTCAAGTCATTTTTCCGAGTGACGGAACGACGAGTTCGGACTGATGACTTTTTCTTACCCCGAGGATATGCTGCTGCTGCCTTTGGATCACGCTGCAAGATAAAACGGCCTAGCAAAGATAACACTCTCTTTCCTTCGGCATCTTGTTCTGTAGCACGAGTTTGTTAAACCTTTAATAGATTTTGGTTGAGTGATTGCCCAGAATTACCTTCGCCCTAAATATGGGCCCCTGGTGTTTGTGCGTGGCCGGTTGCTCCAAATTTTCATTGTCGAAAAAAGATCTTTTTTTTGAAAGTATGGCTATTTTTTGTTTTCTCTGGCCTTCACGCGTTGGTATTGCGGTGCTACTTCGAAAAGCGAAGGGAGTTTTGTGTTGTGAGAAAGCGTTTAAAGTTGGTGGGCCGCAATCACCACGAAAGTAGAACAGTGAGCCACCCCGCCCGTATTCCTGTAAATGAAGGCTGCTCCATTCTTAAAAATGACAAGGCAGCGTTACCCGTTTTATCTTAACAGCGTCTCCCTAAGCTTTGCCTGAGCGTCCGAGTCGGCGAGCTCACCCTCCGTCATTGACGGGGGGGGGGGGGGGGGGGGGGTTGATGCCGTTGAACCCCTCCCGAAATAAAATCCTGGCTACGCCACTGGCCATCAGAGGTGAGCCTTGGTTTCTCAACTCACCACGTTCATGACCACTCCGATGCGCCCCCGAGATGTTTCAAATGCCAAGCAATGAGACATGTGGCAAAGTACTGCACAGGCTCCTTCACGTGCAAGAAATGCAGGGGACCGCATCACCACCGCAACTGTCCTAAACATGTCAGAAATGAATCAACTGAGGCGACCCTCATCCCGCAGATTACGCAAAGTGCAATGTACATCTTGCAGCTCTGGCGCGCACGAAGGCGTTTCTGCACGGCCCACTTCTGCGTGCTGACGAAAAATCACCAACGGAAACAACAGCTCCTTCAAGCTCACACGACGTCGCTGAGACAACACCGGCCCCAAAATGAATAAAAACAAAAAAAAAAAAAAAAAAACTCACGCTAAGTTACGGGGGGCACCACTTCTCGACATATGTCGGACGATGAGAAGGATTTTCCGCCTCTACCCCAGTGCCACATTGACAGCGCAAATCACGCGCATGACCCGTCATCTTCGCGAGACACCCAATAACAACTTCAGCACAGGGCACGACGCTACAAGGACAGGTGTAGGCTTTGGGGGGGGGGGGGGGGGGGGGGGGGCATCGGGGCTCGTGCCCCCCTAGTGAGATCCGGGGGGGGGGGGCAGACCCCCCCCCCCCCTCCCCGGGCCCGGGCCATGCTCCTTACCGAGATGCTGTTTACGTGCAATGTAACGAGCTTCTAGTAGTGGCAGGTGATCAAAATAACGCCCACGTTGCTTTTATTGACAAAATACATGGGAAATGGAATCCCGGCGTGCTTTCGTTAGCTTCAATCTCCAGTTCTGGCGAAAAGGTTACGCGCAGCAGCAGCAACGCCCCCGGAGAACTTCTCAGCCTGCCCCCTCCGGGAAAATGGAAAGTCTACGCCGCTGGCTACAAGAGTTATAGCAGCGCCTTGGAGTGACGCCCAACAGAAACAAACCGTCCTACAGTCACCATAATTCAAGCAATTTTTGCGACATTTCGTCGTGTTGTCATGAGCATGCCACAATGACCTCATAGGGAAGCGCTTGAAGGCATTCTACAACTGGAGAGCTTGATTCTCTGGTTGTAAAAATACTCTATAACAAAAATGAATATTACCCTAACACATAAAAATAATTATGTC